ATCATCATCGGGATCGGCCGTGATGATGAAGTCTGCGCCACTACCGCTCTCGGGTGGCTGATCGAAAGTCAAGGAAAGATCCGCACCAATACCGGTCAGGTGCGAAGAAACATTCGCATCGGAAGAAGGCATCATCTTTGAGCGCGTGTCGGAGGCCAGCTCGTTGCCCAGGATGCCATACTTCCGAAGATCGATGGCGAGGACATCACTTAGATACTCGCCGTTGTGGTTCCCATCATTCGCCGACTCGATCGGGCTGCCTAAAAGCCAGGCATGTGTTCCTTCGGGGTTTGTTGTGCAGTAGTGCCAGCGGTAGTTGGGGCTGTAAAGGTCCTTCCCGTCGGCGAGCTTCTGCCATCGCAGTGTATCTAGCTCCAGACTGGACAAACTAGTCTCGCAGCTCAACTCCGCCGGGGTGACGAAATCGAGCATGCAACCGGATGAAAAGATGTGGAAATGCGTGCCCGCCGCTTGAGATGGTAGGTTCGGACTGGAGTGGAACTTGAGAGAAGAAATGGAGCCAGGCGCAACGTAGGGTGAGCGACTTGAACCCATGCCATGATATGACTGAACGCTCGAGTTTGCAGTATAACCGGTGCTTCCGGTCGCGAGTTGACCAGACGCTGGTACAGGGTAGCGATGTCGGGACGAGATGAGTTGCCGGTCGCCTGTTCCATACTTCATGGCGTGGTCGAACTCTGGGCTGCCGCGGAGATCGAGCCACCAGATCTCATTGCTCTTCTCCATCTCGTCGTTGATGCCACCAAAGATCCAGATGCGACCGTTCCAGATCCAGCTGGCGTGATCGTAACGAGGAACGAACCTCCATGTCCGGGACCAGGTCCACGTCTTGAGGTCGAGATAGCAGATGTCGTCTAGTACACTGTCGTGCCCAGTCTGACCACCGCTGATGTATAGCTTATCGTCGTATATGACGGCCGAATGCCGAGCGCGACCGCGAGGTATTGGGCCATGGAGTTCGGGCTGCGTCCAGTGGGCGGTCTTCAGGTCGAATACGATGACGTCGGCGAGGTGTTGACGGTGCTCATTCTCACCACCGAAGACCAGCAGTTTGCTGCCTTGCCAGAGACATGCAGTGTGTCCTAAAGCGTTATGTTAGTTGCGACGGGAGTAGCATTGGTGATAGAGCGGTGAGCACGTACCCATTCGTACGCCCGGAATGTCTCCGTAGTTGTCGACCAGATTCCATTGTCGAGTGACGAGGTTGAGGCGAAGGACGTGGTTGTACACCTCGTCGGTATACTGGTCGAAGCCTCCAAAGGCGTATATCTGATCATCGCCGACATATGTGACAGAGGCATTGACCAGGCAGGCGGGCTTGGCGCCGATTGTCGAAATCATTTTCGGTTTGTAGCCTTCAACGGCTGATCTGCGGCTCCGGACGGGGCTCGCAGACATGAGGAAAGTGTTGTTGGCAGAGCTGGCGGATCCCGGCGTGTTGGAGTGGGAGTGGCTGGGCGAGGGTGTAGAGGTGACGGCGGGGTTGAGGATGTTGGACGGGAAAGCGGATCGAGCGGATGTTTGTGCCATGGATAGTGAGCGGTGAATAGCGTAGTCTGGTACGTGGTAGCAGCCCCGGTGGGCAGAGGTGGCCTTTGTCTAGGCTGGGAGAATGTTTGACGGAGGAAGTTGAGTTGGCTGGCCGTGCATATTGCCGCCCCTCACCGCCCGAGCATGGAAAGCGGAAGCGCCGACCCACGACGACTCAGCCCTGTGCCCGACACGGACGGCGCGAGCCACTCCGGGATTTGGCCACTGGACAGCTGTAGCAGATTACTGCTATTAATGCACCACGGCAGATGCTGGAATCTGCGATCAGTGAGTGGCTGCGCAATGCTGATAGACTGAGAGACTGCTGAAGTGCGTCGCAGTCTGGCACGAGAGCAGACGCTATAAAGCATCGCCATCATGGATGCAGCGGTAAAAGCAAGGCCATGCAGGCAGCGGCACCGACACGACGACGATGCATGCGGCTTCACAAACCGGATAGACTACGATGCCGGCGAGGGTCGAGCACCGTCATGTGATGTCATGCGTCCTGGTCGTCCGGCCAGCCTCGCGCAGGGTCCCGTCCTCGTTACCTGGTCAACGCAAGCGTAAACAAAGGATACTTAAACGCCCCCATACCTGCCATTCTACATATCCACTACCACGCACTCTACCATCCGCACTGCCCTGCATCTTCTCCTCCAGAGCGCGAACCACTCAATTACTTTCGAATCAATACTTCACAGCATCGATTACAGCATTGTCTAATACTAATCCTTACACCATATAGCAGAACCCAACCCACATACTGTATGCCACCACGTCCTATGTACTAAGAATCCAACTAATCCTAGTCCAGTAGGAGACTAGCTAGCAGTCATGGCAAGCACTGCAGTCTGCGTGACTCCGGTCAAGAAGCGCTCTGCCGTCTTCAACACCCGCACCGCCGGCGGTCGGATGCCACTGACGCCCTCTCCCCGCACCCCGCGCACCCAGACTCCCGATGTGCAGGCACACGAGTCGATCCATGGCAATGACTTCAAGTCGCGCATCCAGCGCTCCGTCACCAAGACGACGCGCGACTCCCCCAAGTCCAACATTGCTCGCTCCCACACACACACTCCTCGCCGGTTAGAACTCGGTGTCTCAGAATGGGCCCTCACTGGATCCGGTACCACTGCTGCCACCAAGGCCAAGAAGGAGAAGAAGGAGGCGGCTGCCATCCGTGCTCGCCCTACAAAGACGCGCATTGCCTACAACGCCGCCGATCGCTTCATTCCCAACCGGACGGCAAGCGAGGCCATCCGCAGCGTCGGTGCCAGCAAGCTCGACGCTGAACAGCGCCCCAAGTCAAGCTCCAAGAAGGAGGGCTCAACCGTGCTTGCCAACGCCGCAAGTGCTTTCGATCTCGGTGGCCGTGGTTCAGAGGAGGATGTCACACTTTCCCTCGAGGGCCTGAGCCTTGAGGACGACGAGGAAGAGAGCCGATCTCGCTCCAAGCCAGCTCCTAGCCAGGCTGCATACCAGTCCACACTTGCCTCAGCATGTGGCATCAACACAAACACTCGCATTCTTGCTTTCAAGCCTGCGCCGCCCGAGTCGTCCAAGCCCATCGACCTTCGCTCCCAGTACAACCGCCCTCTCAAGCCCAGCAGCAGCGTCAACGCACAGAGCCGCCGTCGCATCCCGTCTGCACCCGAGCGCGTCCTTGATGCTCCCGGTCTTGTCGATGACTACTACCTCAACCTTCTCGACTGGTCCTCCGGCAACCAGGTCGCTATCGGTCTTGAGCGCTCAGTCTACGTTTGGTCAGCTGACTCCGGGTCGGTCGCTTCTCTCCTCGAGTGCCCCGCCGATACCTACATCTCTTCCGTCAAGTGGTCCGGCGACGGTGCCTACGTTGGTGTCGGTCTCGGCACGGGTGAGGTCCAGATCTGGGACGTTGAGGAGCAGACCAAGCTGCGTAGCATGTTCGGTCACGAGACTCGCGTTGGTGTTATGGGATGGAACAAGCACATTCTCTCCACCGGTGCCCGTTCCGGCCTTGTCTACAACCACGACGTCCGCGTCGCTCAACACAAGATCGCTGAGCTCGTCTCGCACACTGGAGAGGTCTGCGGTCTTGAGTGGCGCGCCGATGGTGCCCAGCTTGCCACTGGTGCCAACGACAACATGGTCAACATCTGGGATGCGCGCGCGCTTGCTGCCCCCAAGTTCACCAAGACCAACCACCGCGCTGCCGTCAAGGCCGTCTCATGGTGCCCATGGCAATCCAACCTGCTTGCCACCGGCGGTGGTTCCAACGACCGTCAGATCTACTTCTGGAACACCACCACCGGTGCCCGCATCAACCACATCCCCACAGACTCCCAAGTCACCAGCCTTCGCTGGAGCACCCACTACAAGGAGATCGTCAGCACTGGTGGCTTCCCCGACAACAGCCTGAGCATCTGGAGCTACCCCTCCGGTGTCAAGAACATGGAGGTCCCCGCTCACGAGTCTCGTGTTCTCCACAGCTGCCTCAGCCCTGATGGTCAGATGCTCGCCACCGCTGCTGCCGACGAGTCTCTCAAGTTCTGGAAGATCTTCGAGAAGAAGCCCGGTCAGCCTTCCGTTGCCGCCGCCGGCTCTGCTTCCATGAAGCCCAGTGCGACTAAGCAGATGACCATCCGCTAAGTTCCTGCATTCGACAACGAAGGAGCTCGTATCAGATAGACATGGGTTGGAGCATTAGGCTCAAGAAGCATCACAAGTGTCTAGCACGGACATCAACTACCGGCTTGCGCAATGGAGCTGGTATCATTCATCCGACTCTACGCGCAACGGTAAGTTGGTAAGTAATCACATCTCGTATTTGGGTATGTGACGCGATCCTCTCCCTCATTCACAGGGAAAGGAATCTCCACATCTACCCTCGGAACATCTGTCAAGCGTACAACTGGGTCTCATCATGGCTTTTTTGTCCATTCAGCAAGCGAGGCGTCTCGGAAGCATTGCAAGGCGTTGAAATTAAAGAACTGGCTTTTCGAGCGTCCCATGGACAACGAGGTTCATGATATTTACGAACATTTGGAAAAGACGGACTCGGTCTATTGTCTTTCGAGGGAGTTTTTGTATTTGTACATTCACCGCGCCTTGACGCGCTTGGGATTGGGACATTTGGGGGCTTGGGAAGGCGTTCGATCTTGAATAAAATGGAAACATTACAACATATGATCGTTTCATGACTTTGCATTGTCTGGTGACTTCTCATGTCTCTGCACAATGCGTAGATAGTTCAGATGAATCATCTGATCATCTCAGCGACCGAACTATCCGTCGATAAGACGAGTCGTATAACTTCACATACCCATCGAGCTCTTCTGCCTCGCCTTTCACTCTGGGGTCGGATTGGCACCTCACGTATGTAGGCCTTTCCCTACATCTCCATCCCTTCTCAACCCAACGAACAACAACCCAAGCAATCCAAGCAATCCAATCCAACCAACATAATGAGCTACGAGCCCCTCCCACCCATGCCAGGCGCATGGCCATCAGACGACACAGCCCCCACCTCCCCTCTAACCTTCACCCTCTCTGACTTCATCTCCGCCGCAAGCATTGCGCAAACCTACATCGAAACCACACTCCAGCAATCCAAATCCCAAGTCTGGCTCTCCGAAACCATGACAAACATGACGCTGTTCACCTACGCCGAGGAACTCGTCGAGAAATCGGTGGCGTATGTTACCTATATCGCTCCCTACATCGGTTTCTGGCCAGAAGACCAGTTCCCGCCTCCGCTGGCCGATGGGGTCATTCTGTCTTATACTTTGGAGGAAGTAGGTTTACTTCGGGCGATATTACGGTATTCGCGGGAGACTGGATTAGATGATGATGCGGTTATGACGCTGCAGACTTTCAAAGAGGGCATGGAGACATATCGGCTCACAAAGAGCATCCAGGGGCTGGTTGCGTCGTATATTGAGTTCGGGAATACGAATTCGGATGAATCACCGCGGATCTGGGAGACGGCAGAGGTGTATGCCCCTGCCTATGTAAATTCTCTGGCTACCGTTGAAGTCGAGACGGCGGTACGAGATGATGTCCGTTGTCCGTTTTGTTGGGGTGCTTTTGGTGCGGGTGAGGATGGGTGTAGGGGGGTTATCAAGCAGGTGGGGTGCTGTGGGAAGCGGTTTGGAAGGGAGTGTCTTGTTGAGGCTATGATGGGGAGTCTGCTTTGTCCGAATTGCAGAAGGGAGTTTGCGGTTAGGCGCGTTGAGGATGGAGAGAGTGGCTAGTGTGCAGGCTAATACAAGATGCCTGCGGTGTCTTAAGATACAAGCTTCTCATGACCGCATGTTCATTTCCAGTATCTAATCCATTCGTTTTCCAAGTCCGTCATGCTGTCCTGGAGGATGGCAGCTTGCATCGCTTTCTCATTTGCCTTCGCCATCTCCACGTTTGTTATACCCCAATCAATCTGCACAGGTGTTAGTCATCATCGTAGCCTCTCACGGCGACATGCCAGCCGATTCAGTACTCACCGGCGGTGCGCTCCAGCCGCTGACAGCCCATTGTGTACTGCGGATTCTGGCCTGCGACTGCGCAACAATCATCTGATTCCTGTGCATTCTCTCCTGCGCTTTAAATTGCTGAATCTCCTGCTTCATACGCCGAAGCTGAATCTCAATTTCTTGCATCTTGTTGTTTCGCGTCATGAGCTTTTGGCGGAAGGTGGAGATGTCGTTTGTACGACTGGCGTCTGTGAAGTAGGACTGGAGACGTGGTGAAAAGAGATCACACAGGAAGCCCCCGGGTTTTGCCTCTTGCTCCTCAAGCTGCGCGAGGATCGCTGGTTGGGGTGACTGAGAGTACAAAGGTTCGATGTGTCTGAGGTAGCACTCTTCGCAGGCGGTGAACTCCGGAACCGTAGAAGGGAAGCTGTACTGCTTTTGGCCCGAGACCAATTTCCCTTGTTGACAGGCAGGAATTGGACCCCATTTCTTGACGAAATCGATCAGTGGTGTAGTGTCTCGTGTCTTCGTTTCAAGAGTACTTTGCGCAACGGCGGCCATCTGATCAACAATCTCGACACACCGCTGTTGGCCATTTCCCTGGGTCATTAGATCGCAGGTAGCGAGAAGCCTTTGCCCGTTTGCAATCGGTGCAAATATGCGCTTGAGGCAGGGAAAGAGGACGTTTATGTGCGCCACGCAGAATGAACAGGCTGTCATCTCTTCGACCAGCGACCCAGTCTTTGGATCTTGCAGACAGTACCACGTCCTGACTACTTCGGGTCTTCCTCCATTCTTGACCACTGGATCCTCCATGTTGAAGTTCGGGCAGATGCCATCCCTGTCAGGATCAATGCTACTGATCTCGCCCAGCAAGCTCAAATCAGGTTGTCCCATTTGGAACAACCACATATAGGCTAGTCTCACCCACAGGAACGAGAAATCGCAGACAACAGACATCTTAGCTGGTTTGGCGGGACCGGCAGATATGAGGGACGCATAGCGAGTGTTGCGGAAGGATGTGTTGTAGCAATCCGGACAAATGTCGAAGTTGGGGATGGCCCTTGGCGATTTGATTTGCAGCCAGTCATTATGCCCTTGTGTGAAGTTTGATCGTTTGCACAATCCAAGTGCTGGGGGTTGTTTCGTCTGCGGGGTTGCTGATTCTGAGGATGGTCGGGGTGGAAGGGGTGGGGGCCGAACGAGAGGCATGACTCGTGCAGGAAGTCACCTTGGTGACTCGAATATCGTGAGAGCGACTAGTAAGAGACTCGATTGTGAAGAGAGACCTTTTCATTGCGGAAGACAACTCACGTTCTTTGCTGTGAGCGCGAATACCTCTAGGCTACATGGTGACTGGTCTGCCGAGGCTTTCAGCTGAAGAGGCTGAAAGTGTCGTCCGAATACGATACCGGTGAAAGCTCGCCCCGCAACGAGCGCCCAAATGAGGCCATGAAAACGCCACGCACGTCGGACCTTCTCGATGCGTTGCGTATCAAATTGAATTGTGCATCGTAGAAGCGAAAGGATCGACAGGCTGCGGCCCATCGGGCTGAGATGGAAAGTATGTGTATCGATAGCTGTCCATGGCCCTAAGTAGTCAACAAGTATCGCAGCAATGTATACCAGGTGTAGAGAGCACTGATCGTAATCTAATGACTTTGCGCGAATGTTGTGGCTTGAAGGATGGTGGAAGATGCAAGATCTCGACAAGAGGTGTCTGAGCCGAGCGGCTGGTAACACCACCTCATTGGCTGACATCTCGCTTCCCCTTCACCCATTATCAAGAGTGTAGACGGCTAGGCGACTCTAGCTCGAGAAGACTTGTGCCAGATCATATACATTAGACGAGCATACACTGCCGAAGTCGCTACGAGTCTTGCTGATAGTATATGGTTCGCATTACCATGCGTCTGGCAAAGAAAGGTGGCAGAAAGATGGTACGTCTCTTTGTACGAAGCCTGTAGTCGTTGCATATGACTTCGACGCACATACAACAGACCCAATCGTTGTTTTAGATCATGTAGAGGGAGAAACCATCACTCCACGAGTTCTATCAATGAGCTGCCGCGTTTGTTGTAGCTAGGCAGTACACCCAACGAATTTGTGTAGCGGCAGGTATGTTTTCCCCATCGTTGTATGTAGCGTGCACTCGTATGGGAGAGCATTTGCGTAGCAGTCGCATGACCGAATGTTGGCCGGGGCTTATTACGACATCTGGCACCCTCAGCCGAGACATGTTGTGTATACACTCGTTGGTGATGGTCAGAGGCGTGCAGTCATGTTGTCCAAGATGTGGTGCAACATTGAGCCTCCTTCTTGCCGCACAGCGTCAGTCGTACAGGGCTGTACATTTATTTTGTTTGCCCAAGGCAGACTGTGACAAATCGTGTGTTTGACTCTGAGGCGTTGGCATGCTCGTTCAAGGCTGACGTGCGCCGCAAAGCACCTCATGGGTTGCAGAAGCGCCCGGCACGGGAGGGAGTTTTCCAAGAGCTAAACCCCTCGGAGATTTCATGCTGTGGATAGCGTCACGGGTAGAATGGTGGCTTCGAATTCTTTCATCGCGATTTGCGTTACCTTTTCAGCGGTGAGGACGCCCATGTTGGCCTGAGAAGCCAACACCGGTCTGGTTTAGTATTGAGGAAATGGACACTACGAAGGGTTGCTTTTTCGAACGATGCCCAGGACAAGAAAGGGCGCTCGGCTGATCCTACTATTGTGTCTTGTGCATCTACAATAGCAAACCTAAAGCGCCCTTTAGTCTTGGATACAATTGAGGAAACAATGAGCTGCTTCGTACCAGGCAATCCAGCTGTTGGTGGGATGCACAACACTCCAAAAGCCAATGTAGCGGCCCTTATCCGAGCAGTTGTAGATTGAGACATGTGCATGATTGCCATTGTTGGTGGACTCGGCACAGGAACTCCTCTTCCAGCACGATATCCAGGAATGAATGCCCGCTTTTCGGGTAGCCATCGTACCAGCATCCTGGGATATCGCGTGGCAGTCGCTAGTAGGGATCGCTTTCAGGCCGCCCAGTATCATGACTCCGGATGCACCGGACTATCTGAATGCCATTATCCGAATAAGTCTAGATGTCGTTGGTGGTGGGGAGATTTGCCAAAGAAACGACGAGAGTAAGCGCCGATAACGTGAGAGCGGGGTCGCTTCGGTTGGGTGTATACACAAAAGCTATCGGCGCAGAGTGGGGCACCGAGTATGTTAGACACCTTCTTCAAAGCCATGCCATTGCTCATCGACCATTGTAGCGTGCCCTGCGCATGAAACTGTGTTGGTTCCAACGTCGCCGATATACTCATCATTCTGCGTAGTTGGCGTCGAAAGGCACGTTGCGATCGGCCACAGACCTGTGTGCATGAGTTATGCAGGCCGTAGCTGCAGCCTCCTGTCAGTCATCTAAGAGATTGTACCTGTCGGTTAGACAAAGGCCGAAAGAATGTCCTGTGCTCCACGGCGCTTATTAGCAAGCCGCCTTGAGCGCGGCTAATGTCAAACGCGGAAGCGGCGCAGGTCGCACGAAGAAGGGCAGCTGGTGCCATTGTCAAGGTGGACATGGACCAGGTAGCTGCTTGTAGGCCAGACTAATGGGATTATTGAAGATACGCGCGGCGTGAGCTGTGGTAGGTTGGTGGGAGAAAAAATGTGTGCTTTCGTGTCCCAGTCAAAAAGTTGGGGATGCCATTGGCCAATCTAAGCATCCGAGCCCATGGTAGCCGGGGACGCTGATACGCTTGGGGAATCTGGAGATGAACTAGTGGAAGAGCGATACCGATGACGATCCTACAAATTTAGCAAGAAGAGGCTCTTGGGATGCCATGTGTCGACGGACCGTTGCGAGCAGGAAGTCATCACACCACGCAGGGCTTCATTTGATGCAAGGCCGCCACGTCGTTGTCGATGGGGCCAGACTGGAGACAGAGCAAACGGTGGGAGGGCACCGTGACTGTGCCGCACACTTGTGCTGTCTCCAAGCACCTGATGGAGCCTTTTGAGGAAGGGTGCATTAGCGTCTCAAGGAGGCCTGGCCCTAGTCGTCTGCAGCAACGTTCGCCATGCGAGGAACTAATGCTGGGTGAATAGATGATGCCAAGGGGCTGCTTACCTACACCTTGGAGGGCCGCGCAGCCGTTTGCTTTCCGCGGGACGGCATCAGGTAGGACAATGGATCGGAGGGGTTCGCACCAGCAGACGGAAGAGGGAGCCAGGCTGGTAGCGATGGCTGTTCTAGAGGATCCAGTGTCGTGTCTCTGGCACGCACGGCGCGGGATCGCTGACCATGCCCGCCATCTAGCGTGGGTTTGGGCGCTTAAGCTGCAGTGCATCCCTGAAGCTTAGCACGACCCAGGGCGGCGATTCGTCTGCGGCGCCCAGCGGTGGTGGTGAACGGACAGGTGTTGTAAGCGGGCGTAGTGCACGGGCGGGCGAGCAGTTCGCTGCTGCTGCTAGGTAGACGATTGACGCCGCCTGCCGCCTGTCTGCGCTGAGAGTCTCCACCGAGGCAGAGTCGCAGTGTTGAAACAAACAACGACACCTCTCTGCACCAAGCACCTTGAGCCTCTTCCCGGCAGCTGGCCTGCTCTGATAAGCCTCGTCCCGTCCTTCTTTCCCTAGACGCAAGCGCTCGCCCGCCGCCCACCCTTTTCGCGCCTTCCCTTCTGATTCGTGACCCGCCGCTCAGCCTCGCCAACCTCGTCGTCTGAGTGATAGGCAGCCCATCGCGCGACCGCCCGTGATTGTTCCTTCCCACCGCAGCGTAGATCCGGCGCAGTCCTGGCGCAGCCTCTGTTGTGCCTTCCTCAAGAGCAGCGCGAGGCATGGCAACCGCGACGCAGCTCATGCCGTCACCGAGTGGCCTGAAGTCCATGTCGGCATTCAGCCCCTACACGGACTCGCCCAGCTCACCGGGCACCTTTGCCCACGTCTTCTCAAATAGGTGCGACGCCCTCGCTGCGAGAGCATTGGCGACTGCCCGCTAACATGGACTCCCCCAGATCCTCAGGGCACACGTCCGACCACCTGCAACCACCGCCCAGCCCGTACCCGGCGACCGTCGACCCCTCGCCCGTCGACAGCAACGGCACGAGCCATACTGACCACACTGAGGTACGTCGCGTCGTGGGTGGATATACGAACGCGCGGGGCTGACCCCACCACAGATCGAAGACGATGCCCAGGTCAATCACCCAAGTGCAAGCGAAGATGGCATGAGCGATATCAGATCGCCGGGCACTGACGACATAGTGAGCCCGGCGAGCCAGGACGGGCCCGCAAAGGTATCATACCAACACCTCTACCGCGCCTGCCTGCACTCATCTAACCTGTGACAGCCCCATACCCATAAGCTCAACACCGCCGTGCGCAGGGCTGACTCCGACGATGCCCCGCCGTCTGTCATCCATGCGCCGGATACCTTTAAACAATTCGTGAGTGCCCTTCTGTTATGGTTGCACTACATGGCTGACGTGGGAACCAGAACCAGAACCGGATGACGTCTGGCGGGTCATCGAGCGCAAACACGTCAGATAACACCGCTGTCGTATCGCCGTCAACGCCAGAAGCTAACATGCTTCCGGATGTCGAGGACAAGCACACATCGTCTGCCTACACCACGCCCATTGATACCGCCGTGTCCAACTCAGTTACCGACCGCAGCACGCCGCGTGCCCAAACAAGACAAGATTTCGAGGAGGACCTTAGGCGGCGCAGCGTTCGCAAAAGCGTCAATCTCGCAGGTACGTCTGCACGCATTTTAGAAGGCCACGCGCTAACATGCACAGATATCGCCGAGTACGACGACCATGCTACCACGGATTCTTCTGCGAGCTCCGTCATCGAACAAGATGACAGCCAGTCATCACAATCGCAAGACGGCGAGTCCATGTCCATCGGCACCCAAACGATGGGTCAGGCGATCCACGGCATCCAGGAGTCGGAGA